TCACGTAGGAAACGCTGGTTTTGAAGACTTGGCGCTTCACTTTTGGAAGAAGTCTCGTACGAAACGCTCGTTTGGAGACTCGGCGCTTCACTTTTGGAGGCAGTCTCGTACGAAACGCTGGTTTTGGAGACTTGGCGCTTCACTTTTGGAGGACGTCTCGTATGAGACGCTGGTTTTGGAGACTTGGCGCTTCACGTTTGCGTGGCGCCGTGCCACTGGGGAGGAAGAAAAATGCTGGTGTAAACGCGGCGTGTCGCTGGCGAGCGGGATAATTGGTGGCATCATGCATGTGATATGTGTATAGGCATACCGTGTGGTGAAATTACGTTCGTGATGTCGCAGTGCCGCGCGGATTTGCGCGGCCTTGGTGGGAAGTGCGTTTGCGTGGCGCCGGGCCTTGGGGGAGGGCGAAGCATGCTGGTGTAAGCGCGGCGTGTCGCTGGTGAGCGGGATGATTGGTGGTATCGTGTTTGCTTCTAGCGTGTAGGCAGACCGTGTGGCGAAATACATTCGCGACGTCGCAGTGCCATGCGGATTTGCACGGCCTTGGCGTTTGCGCGGCGCCGTGCCACTGGAAAACGCGAAACATGCTGGTGTAAACGCGGCGTGTCGCTGGTGAGCGGGATGATTGGTGATATCGTGTGATATGTGTGTGGCGACATTACGTTCGTGATGTCGAGGTGCCATACGGATTTGCGCGGTTTCGCACGTGGATGTTTTTGTTTCGTCGTTCTTCGGCAACATTTCCTGCTGGCATTTTTCTTGTGTCAGTTTTTGGAGTTTTTTCTTCCGGAGGGTCGCCTGGTCGCTGTGAAAAGTTGGGAGATTTACCAAAATGCGCTCGGCCGTGAAATCCTCCGGAACCTTCCGCCACGGCCATTGCCTCAGCCGCAACCTTCCACCACCCCCATCGCCTCAGCTAGAACAAGCTGAGGCGCTCGAAGCCGAGCGGGAAGCCATTGTCACATTCCAAACAACGGATGAAATGGACGTGCGCAAAACGAAAGGGCCAGCCACTCATTTGGTGCTGCAGACGCCGGCAAATATGAAGCGCGCCAGATGGGAAGCGCCCGAAACGTGAAGCGTTCACCCGCGAACTGTGCAGGTTGGGGTGTGGGCGACGCTAGAACTCGTTAACAGGATCTGTGTGAGACACATGTCATGCTTGGCTTGGAATCGTAGCGGCTGGATGTCCCGCAAGCACGAGTTTCGCAGAAAATGTGCGGCTGATCAAAATCAGTGGCTGTTTCATTTGTTGGCTGTTTCTTTGTTTGTTTCATTTGTTTGTCATCATCATCATCATTATACATACTCATGCATTACACATCATCACCATCATCATCATCATACATACAACATCATCATCATTATCATCATCATCATCACCATAATTCATTATCGTACATCTTTATCGTCGTCATCATCATCATCGTCCTACATACGCAGACATAATACATCCTCATGCGCATGTGATCGTTCGATTTCGTTTGAAACCCTTTCGTTCTAATGCTTACTCCTACTATGCTTTCGGGCCACCCTGTCGTGTAGTCAGTAAAGGGGCTGGTGCACTCTGCAGGTGTTTAGGTCTTTAGGTACGCCTCCAAACTTGTAACAAGGGCCTTCAACCTGGATGCGATGGCCTCCAACTACTAGCAATGGCCTCTAAACCTGCGGCGTGTGGCAAACCGCAACCGAATCAGTACGCGTGTCAATAAGTGTGTGTACACCTTGGAGTCACAGGTTTTTCAGCGCGGGGGAACTGGTCACGGCTGACCCAGTTCAACGAAGCTAGGTCACAGCGTGGGATATTCGGACTGATCGTCCGAACGAACCTGCGTAAAACTTTCTTAATTTCCTTTCACTCGAAGGGCGCTGCGCTAAGCCGAGAACACAGCATGTGGAATTGCTGCTTGGGTTTAGCGTTGGACCTCGAGGTTTTCACATCAACCCTGAAATCTCGAGATTCTCACACCAACCCTGAAATGGCTTGATGCAAGTTGAAAGACGTTTTCCTCATGACTCATACTCAAACACTCAAAGAGTTGCTGCGGACAACCTACGGCCAACAAAATACCTAGGTCGGTGTGTGGCCAACCGCAGTTCGTACATATTTCTTTCCCGAGGGTGTACGTGCGCGAGGTTTTTTTTGTACAATCTTCCAGCAAGTGTTTTTTGAATGAGTTGCTCGCCCTAAGGACGTCGACACCGTTCATCAGGGGCGCTTTCTTTATCCAGACAGCAGCCGCCAATCACAAGGTGTCTTTGCGACCGTCATATCCTGGCATGGGCAAGCTGACCCTTGACTCAAAGCTAGCCTGCTAGATACACGTTTGGCCATCCGTTGCTGGTTGGGCTAAAATTCTTCAGCCAATGAACTGCCCCCCATAGAAGAAAGTGGCTACCTGTTTTAGAGGCAACAGTTAGATTTTCTGTTCCTCTACTTGGGGGTTTGTTTCACATCTCTTTTTTTGGTTTCCTGCAAGTACCAAAGCAGAAGGTGCCAATAAGTTTACGACAGCAGATGCTGCCGACAAGTTGACACAAGTAGCAGTGGTGACCAGCCACGTCCATTGTTTTGCTACAATCTGGCAAACGATTGGCAAACGATTTCGGACTGACCGCACTGCCAAGCCGAAAGGTGACAGGCAGAGTCCCAAGTTCTAACGTCCTTCACTCTCAGGGAAAGCGGCCTGCGTTCCCGAAGGAGAGAGACATCTAACAAGAGACACTGCTGTTTCTCATGTTTCCCTTGCCATGCAGCCAGCAGGCCTTGGCGGCCTTGGGTTAAACAGCTTGCATTTCTGTTGTTTTGAAAACGAAACCGGGTATAAACGCTACTAGGTTGGAGGCCATTGCCATCAGGTTGGAGGTCATTGTTATCAGGTTGGAGAGGCCATCGCTACTAGGGTGGAGGAAGAAACCGTGGTATAAACGCTACTAGGTTGGAGGCCATTGCCATCAGGTTGGAGGCCATTGCTAGTAGGGGTATATCAGGTTGGAGGCCATTGCTATTAGGTTGGAGAGGCCATCGCTACTGGGTTGGAGGCCATCGCTACTAGGGTGGAGGAAGAAATTGTTGTTTCATGCTAGTTTACTGTATACATGTCTCACATGACCTACGTTTGGCTCAAGGAAGACCAGGTGCGCTTTGCTGGTACTAGTAGGCCGTTCACTTGTAACTACAGGTTATCAGCCGTATCGCCCTAAGTGCGGTATGTGCTTGTTAGGCTATAAGACGATCGCTCTCGTTCGGGCTATGTTCCGACATCTCCTGCGATGTCTCAGAAGGCCTCCGGTGCCTCCTGCGCTCAACGCGCAGGGGAACCTGTTGCCATCGATCGTCAGTCCGTCTCCGTTCAATATCGAAGCCTCGCCACCCTGAATGTACACCAGGTTGATGCCAGGCAGATCCACCAGCAGGCCGTCTTCGTGAATCAGGACCGGTCTGCTGAAGTGGCAGAGATCGCTGAGTTGAGGCACCAGGCGTTGTTGGCAGAACAGGGTCAACAGTTTGTTGAGTCGAGGAAGGTAGGCAGTATAGGGATGTTGTAGCTGATGAGGCAAGAGCTTTTGTCGAGGAGTCTAGGGCGCAACAAGAAGCAATCACCATGCAACGCATGAACGACATGAACCAAGCACAGCAAGCAAAACAACTGCAAGACCAGAAAGCTTATCTCGATCGCATGGCTCTTGAGAGACATTCGATCACTGAGAGTGAGAGAGCGTTTGCGAAGCAAAGAGAGGATGCACTCCGTTCAGAGCTCGCTGAGCAAAGTCGCATCGTCCAAGAGTTGAGGGAGAGATTTGACACCGCCTCGGGGAACCGAGTGCCTGCAGCCACCGCCAGCGCGGCCAGCTGTGTCCGCGCCTGCTGCTTGTAGTGGAGTTGGAGATCTACCTGCCCCGCCACCGGCAGCGCCATTCCTTCCAGGCTCTCGTGTGAAGGCAGCGCCGCCGCCTCCGTTCAAAGACTTGATGGAGCGCCGCCCCTGCCACCGACAGCACCATTCCTTCCAGGCTCTCGTGTGAAGGCAGCACCCCCGCCTCCAGCTGAAGAGGTGTGGAACCGCACCTTGAGTTGCGTCCTCATTACTTCTTGCACCAGCGCAAACATTGTTTTGATAAAGACGCTAGCCCTTGCCAGCGGTGTGGCCGCTATTCCACAATGTGCAAATGGTGTGGTCGTTAGGTTTGAGGTTCTTTTTGTACTGAGTCTGGGGTGTTCTGCTGTGGCAGCATTTACTGAGGCAACTGGTTGCTTTGTCGAGGATTGGCTACCGGGCGAATCTACGCGGCAGCAGCAGATCAGGCTTGTCTCCCACTTCTTCCAAGCAGATGGCAAGGAGTGCCTCAGAGATCGATGCAGGGATCCTGAATGAGGAGTAGCAGCTTTCGTGAAGGGAAAATGAAACAGTAAAGATACCTGCACAGCCTCTTGGGTCTCCTAGTTCCTCATCCCTCTGATGCTGACGAAGAGGACCATCCAACTCGTCTGATGATGATGACGGATCTGATGAGTCTAGTTCGGATTCATCACGTTTGGCCCGGATAATCCGTAAGGAGTCGAAGAAGCAGCAAAAGAAGCTGAAAGACAGGGATCGTGATCCGAAAGCCAAAGAGGCGGACAAGATCCTCATTCCCAAGTTCCCAACACCAGAGAAATACCGTGACTGGAAGATTAAGGTGCGGGATGACATTGCTGCGGCTTCAGCCAGACGAAGCAAGGATTTGGGTTGGCAAAGTGTACGCTGATGCCCAAACCGTTGATGCACTTGACGATTCAGAGGGATTTGCCACCCTTGACGCGAAGTTGTTGGCCAGTCTGACAAATTGCGCTGAGGGGGACCCTCGGTCGGCAGATAGCGACAGGGCGAGGGAGGAGAAACCCGCAAAGGGGAGGCGCCTGCTCTTGCGGTTCCATGAGTATTTCGGCGATATACAGGCTCGAAGACCTAATGTCGGTGAAAATGGTGAATGATGATCTCAAAGGTTTCATCAACAAATGGGACAGTGTCTTGGCAGGTATGAAGAAAGAACCTGATGACAACGTCCTTGAGGCATACTTTCACCTGGCGATTAAGAGGTTCAAGCCTTTGGAGCATGACCTCGCCTTGTACGATCGAGCTGCCGAGGGAAGCAAGGAGAGATCGTACGAATTTCTCATCGCAGCAGCGAGAGCCTACTTGGAACGCAAGAGACTTGAAAAGATGAGAGACGCCGCCAAGCGTTCTCTAGGTGCCAAAGATCCTGCCCTGCCTGCGACAGACGAGAAGAAAGGCATTTGCTTTGATTTTCAGAAGACGGGGAAATGCAAACGCGGTGGATCATGTCCTTACAAGCGCGAAAAGGGCCGCGAAAAGAGTAAAGGAAGAGGAAAGGGTAAAGACCGCCCTCGATCACAGTCCAGGTCGCTCACTCCAGGGTCCAAACTCTGGAAGGCCGGACGTTGTCATCGTGGAAAAGATTGTCCGTTCCAACACCCAGATAAGACTGTCCCTGCGAAGAAAGAGGACAAGAAGAAGAAGGACAAGCCACGCAAGAGGAGTAGCTCATGTGGTTCAACAGGCTCCGATGGTTCCACCGGCTCAGAGAGCCAACGGAAAAAGGGTTGGAAATCTTCTTCATCAACTGCCCCGGCAGCTGTTTGCCTCCTGCGTGCGATGGTCGTGGCCGCAGTGGTCTCACAAGGATCCTCCGTCCTCATCACTCGTTCGCTGGGAAGCGTGGCCATGCCGGTCATTTCCTCTCCACAGACTATGTGCACCGATTTTGATAATACCGAGAATATCGACAGTTTTGTAAAACAGCAGATTCGTTTTGACGATTGTCCAAGTGTGTTTATCCATGATGTTGACACTTCGTCCAGTTGGAGGTCAGTCCAGTCCCGTCCAAAGAAGAAAAGGAAACGATTTACACCTAATCGTCCTGAATATGTTGAAGCCATCCGTGTCGCAACTGAAGATGCTATTGTAGCAGCCTCGCACCTCCAGAGCGCCGTAAGGAACGAGCTTTGTTCATTGCCTGTCGAGTGCTCATATTTACGCAACTCAGATATTGGGTGCGTGAAGTGTTTTGGAGTGAGGTCAACGGTTGCCATGCCTGCCACAGAAATCGCATGGATAGCCGACACTGGGAGCGCACATGATCTGATATCTAGGCACACGCTTCGCGCGGACGAGGTTTCCCAATCTTCGAACCCAGTGAGCCTTCTCACAGCCAATGGTGTATTCCAGGCCACCGATCAGACAAAGGTCAATGTTCCTGTTTTGGGCACTGATATTAGTCCATGCGTTCTTGATGATAGTCCAGCCGTCGTTTCTGTCGGGCAGCGCTGCGTTGATGCTGGGTGGAGCTTTCATTGGCCTGCCTTTAGTAGACCGTACTTCAAGAGACCTGATGGTACAAAGGTCAAACTTGAGGTAGATGATTATGTTCCATACTTACCTTCACCAACAGGCGTTGCCATGTCCGCAAAAGGTCAGCCTTATGGTGTGACTGAGAAGTCGGGGGTACCACGACCAATGGTTCCACTTCCCGCAACGCCGGCGGCTGAAGAGGCTGCTGAAGTCGAGGACGATGATGATAACCCGATCGGTGAGGACCCAGTTGACGAGGGACCTGAACCGTCGGATGATGGGTGATTGAGAAACCACTGCATCCCAAACGTGCCTGGGGAACGATCGCCTTGAAGGAAGAAGCTCAATCAATACAACATATGCTGGCACATACCCCTAAGAACCCCTTTTGTCAGGCATGTTCTAGGGCCAAGACGACCAAACGACCTTCGTATAGCAAGGGTGGATCAACGCAAGTCGAGGCAGAAAGTTTTGGACGACGTTTGACTGCCGATCTTTTGATCCTGCGGGATGATGAAGAGATGGACACTGGTGGAGCTAGAGTAGCTTTGGTCCGGGGGGTCCGACTCGTCCTTTTATGATGCCGGAGGGTTCAAAGCAAGGAAATACAAAGGTTCTGACATTCCACCTTTCTTGTGGAAGGCCGCTTCAAAGGCCGAGAGAAAGAAAGCCATCGAGAAGTATGAACTCGAAGAGGCTCGAAAGAGACTCATCGCAAGGCAGCAGTAGCTGAGATCGATGGGAAGTTGCGCCACTTCAAGAGTGGTGATGTCCCTGCTGCAACCAGAGTCGAAGCAATATAGGGAGAAAGGATATTTGACAGATTTCATGTATTCCGCCGTCGTGGCGAGGCCTGTTGGCCAAAAGGAGATTCGGGCCACCCCACATGCTCAAAAGTCACTTGACGTTGAGTGGGTGAAGCTCGAGTCCAAGCCTGC